ATATGCTTTATGTTTTTATCATTTAATACATTTTGAGATTGAGCAAAGTCCATCACATGAAATAAAGAACATTAGCTCTGAATTATGATCTCTTTCATCTTTAATTTACTAGAAGTATCGACTCTGTTTAAGCTCAAATTTTATGGGTTCATTCATAATGTCCTAGTAAATAATACCCATAGTTTCCCAGTGAAAGATATCACTTTTGTTGGAATATCTTGATTCTAGCTCATTAGCCGGAACATCAACTTTGAAACATCATACGTAATATAATAATATAAATAATGAATATGCTAGCAAAGGACTCTACTCGAAATACATTTTTAAGGTTTTTTTTACGTGGAATCACTCCTCGAAAGATTCTTCATTTGAAGTAAATTCTTTTACTCCTTCACCTTTAACTATATCCTTGAAAATGTTATTTTCATCCACTAAACATGTTGTTTCTGAAAATTAAAAAGATTTAATTTTCACCTCTAATTTGCGGAGGTTAGATTTTATGTTCCCCTCTTACAAAGTAAGGGTCCATTCCTAACATCCCACCACCCCAAGGCGGCTTCATTACAAAAAAAAAAATGTTGATATATTTTATTTAATGATCAAAATATATTTGTTCTGAATTATCTTGAAACTTTTAATGACCCATTCGAATGTCTTTCTTTTATCTAAACAATTCAACAACTTGTTCTAACAGGAAATCATATTGCAAATATTCTTATTTAGATACATATTAAAAGTTTTGATTTTTTGAGGTGACATATGAATGAAATCTTCTAGCCATCAATAAGAAGATTCGTCATTTATCCTTTTTTTTTTCAATGGCAGGGGAATGTGTTCCAATTTGCTCTAGGCATATAATATATAGTACATGAGAATGTGTGGTACGCTAGAAATCGACATTGTTAAACCAATAATAATAATAATAATAATAATAATGCAATAAATAATCGTCCTTGCCAAGCATGCATGTATCATAAAATCATAATCGTCCTATATTAAATTTAAGTTCAACTTATGTAATTATCATTACCATTAATGGGTTGGGTCGAATTAGATATGACCTTGACTGACCGACCTAGTTGACAGGTTTAGTTATAACAATAATTTTAATATTAACATGGCATAATACATAAATATGATTTTTTTTTCTAAAAAATAATAATTTATCACCATATGGTGGTAAGACCTTTATATATATTGATGAATAAAATTACAAAGCTAAGGGGAGCTTAAGCTCGACCCAATGTTTCACATCGCAGCCAAAAGCTGCTTCACAAAAACTAAGATTCTGGCAAAAATTATACAAGTTTTGCACAAATTTACAAGTCCAATGCGATAGAAACAAATTAGCTATAACATCTCAACTGAATCAGTTTTATACAAATATTTTTTTTCCTCTGCTTATGCCTTAGGGACTCATTTGTATGAGATCAAGTTGGTAAGGTCTGATGGCTATCGATGGTAGGTGAGCATGTGCAAAAACAACCAACTCCTCATTTGTAATACTCCATTTTGCCAAGACATTTGCAACTTCATTGATTTCCCTGTAACAATGTCGAACCTCACAAGTAATAGTATTTGAAATATTTTAAATACAAGTAATGATATTCTTCATTTGCCAAGGGATATTGTAATTACCTTTGGTCATCTCAAAAAATATCTTTGAATCACATTCCAAGATTACATTGTAATACTTTATGACCTTTAATTTGGTTTTATCTGACATATATGCCCTCCAATTTTGGATGCACAAGTAGGCATTTTAACTTGTATAGAATTGAACAAGTAGACACACATGTCCTACGTGGTAATTCACGTTCTATTCAACATCTTATGTGGCGTCTTACGTGTACCATGCCACATAAGACGCTCTTACGTACGTGTACCATGCCACATAGGACGTGTGTGTCGACTTGTTCAACTTTATACAAATTTAAGTGTCTACGTGTACACTCCTGATAGATGCTAGATGATGCCAAATTAAATGGCATATTTATGTATTATGATTTATGCCTATATTAATCGACTAATCGTTACATTTCGATACCTTTACCTGGGAAAAATAGAGTACTATGATAATATGTGGCCTTTCGAAATTGTAAGGGATCAAGCATTTTTCTGGATCAGTACTAATTGTACTACATTCCCTTTCTTGATATATCTACTTTATACCAAAGGGAAATTTAATCAAAATTTGTCTATGGTACAGATCGTATAATTAATGTGGACTTGATTTCAACAACACGTCTATATGAGGATATATATTCTTAAAAGATTTCATTTTTTTCTCAAATTAAAAGTAATATTCTATTGAAAAAGATTACACCAGCTGGACATATAGATTTATTTTTCCTTTAGTAGAATACTACATTGTTTTCAACAATTTACAAAATATATACATTTTGTTGGATCATTTTGTTCTTATACTTAACTTAAATGCAACATTTATAATTATTGAAGTAGCTTAGTTGATTAATTATCTAAACTTTCACTTTATTGGTTAAGGTTTGATTTCCCACTTTGTAATACTCTTCCTCTACATCAACTTTGAAACGCATACATAATATAATAATAATAATAGAAACAATGAATATGCTAGCAAAGGACTCTACTCGAACTAAATTTTTTAAGGTTTTTTTACATGGAGTCACTCCTCAAAAGATTCTTCATTTGAGTTAAATTCTTTTACTCCTTCACCTTTAACTATATCCTTGAAAATGTTATTTTCATCCACTAAACATGTTGTTTCTGAAAATTAAAAAGATTTAATTTTCACCTCTAATTTGCGGAGGTTAGATTTTATGTTCCCCTCTTACAAAGTAAGGGTCCATAGCTAACCTCCCACCACCCCAAGGCGGCTTCATTACAAACAAACAAAAATGTTGGTAGATTTTATTTAAGGATCAAAATATATTTGTTCTAAGTTATCTAGAAACTTTTAATGACCCTTTCGAATGTCTTTCTTTTATCTAAACAATTCAACAACTTGTTCTAACAGGAAATCATATTGCAAATATTCTTACTTAGATACATTAAAAGTTTTGATTTTTGAGGTGACATATGAATGAAATCTTCTAGCCATCAATAAGAAGATTTGTCATTTATCCTTTTTTTTTTCAATGCAGGGGAATGTGTTCCAATTTGCTCTAGGCATATAATATATAGTACATGAGAATGTGTGGTACGCTAGAAACCGACATTGTTAAACCAATAATAATAATAATAATAATAATAATAATAATAATAATAATAATAATAATAATAATAATAATAATAATAATAAATAGTCGTCCTTGTCAAGCATGCATGTATCATAAAATCATAATCGTCCCTACTTAAATTTAAGTTCAACTTATGTCATTATCATTACTGGGTTGGGTCGAATTGGATATGACCTTGACCGACCGACCTAGTTGACAGGTTTAGTTATAACGATAATTTTAATATTTAACATGGCATATTACATAAATATGATTTTTTTCTAAAAAAATAATAATTTATCACCATATGGTGGTAAGACCTTTATATATATTGATGAATAAAATTACAAAGCTAGGGGAGCTTAAGCTCGACCCAATGTTCCACATCGTAGCCAAAAGCTGCTTCACGAAAACTAAGATTCTGGCAATAATTATACAAGTTTTGCACAAATTTACAAATCCAACGTGATAGACAAAATTAGCTATAACATCTCAACTGAATCAGTTTTATACAAATATTTTTTTCCTCTGCTTATGTTGTAGGGACTCATTTGTATGAGATCAAGTTGGTAAGGTCCGATGGCTATCAATGGTAGGTAAGCATGCGCAAAAAACTCCTCATTTGTAATAACCCCATTTTGCCTAGACATTTGCTACTTGATTGACTTCCCTGTAACAATGTTGTACCTCGCAAGTAATAGTACTTGAAATATTTTGAATATGAGTAATGATGTTCTTCATTTGCCAAGGGTTATTGTAATTAGCTTTGATCATCTCAAAAAATATCTTTGAATAACATTCCAAGATTACATTGTAATACTTTATGACCTTTAATTTGGTTTTATCTGACATCTATGCCTTCCAATTTTGGATGCACAAGTAGGCTCTTTAACTTGTATAGAATTGAACAAGTAGACACACACGTCCTACGTGACAATTCACGTTCTATGCAACATCTTATGTGGCGTCTTATGTGTACCATGCCACATAGGACGCGTCTGTCGACTTGTTCAACTTTATACAAGTTTAAGTATCTACTTGTTCACACCCAATAAATGCTAGATGATGCCAAATTAATTGACATATATATGTATTATGCCTATATTAATCGATTAATCGTTACATTTCGATACCTTTACCTGGGAAAAATAGAGTACTATGATAATATGTGGCCTTTCGAAATTGTAAGGGATCAAGCATTTTTCTGGATCAGTACTAATTGTACTACATTCCCTTTCTTGATATATCTACTTTATACCAAAGGGAATTTTAATCAAAATTTGTCTATGGTACAGATCGTATAATTAGTGTGGACTTTATTTCAACAACACGTCTATATGAGGATATATATTCTTAAAAGATTTTTTATTTCTCAAATTAAAAGTAATATTCTATTGAAAAAGATTACACCAGCTGGACATATAGATTTATTTTTCCTTTAGCAGAATAGTACATTGTTTTCAACAATTTACAAAATATATACATTTTGTTCTTATAAGAACTTAACCTATATTAAATGCAATATTTATAATTATTGAAGTAGCTCGGTTGGTTAATTATCTAAACTTTCACTTTATTGGTAAAGGTTTGATTTCTCACTTTGTAATACTCTTCCTCTACGCCGAATTTTTGTTTTTAAACAAAAAGATTAAAAAATGAGAAAGAAAAAACCAATAAATCTAGTGACAATCCAAAGGGAACAGTGTTATGGGAATATTTTAAAGGTGATGATTATATTCTATTCATTTTTCATGCATGCCCTTTATCATACAAGTGATCAAGAACAATCTACATATATCCATCAACTTGATATTCTTCTACCAATTTTCAATTTTTTTTCTCTTTTAGCAAACATAATATCTCTATATATAGCTTCGTGGAAGGTCCAATTTTCTCAACAACAAATCAAACCTCAAATTCACTTCAAAAAATTTTGTAGCCTTAAGCTTCACAATTTCTTTCCTCTTCACTAAAACCTATATACATACCTTGGCATTTGGCCAAACTATACTCATTAATTCTTGAAGTTATTTAAACATGGATATGGTGATGAAGTTGGGAACATCAAGCCCGGTGGTGATTTTCACCAAGAGTAGTTGTTGCATTTCTCACAGCATTGAAACACTAATCCGTAGTTTTGGAGCAAACCCTATAATTTACGAGCTCGATACACATCCAAATGGGAAGCAAATGGAGAAGGCATTGATGGAACTAGGGTGTCATCCAAGTGTGCCAGCAATATTTATAGGGAAAGAGTTAGTTGGTGGTGCTAATGAGATAATGAGCCTTAATGTGAGGGGAAAGCTTAAACAATTGCTCATTAGGGCTAATGCCATTTGGGTATAGGGAATTAATTAATTAATTAATAATGACCAGCTATGTATATAGCAATTAGTCTAATAATTAGAGTTTTGATAATAAATTTATCACCTTATTATAGAGAGTCATTCTGTTTTCTCTTACATTTTGCTTCTTGATGTATAAATAAAATTTATATACTTAGGTCATGTATAGTCTTTTCTTTTGGCAATCTAGTGGCAATTTTGCTTTATTCACACATGAAATCAATAACAATGAACTTCTTTACGTATTGAATTTTGATCTAAAGTAGTAACAATTATATCTTATAGCTATAGTACTACTCTGTGTGGCTACATGTTCTATCATTTTAACATTTGTGTGTGGATACATGTCATACCTTAAGTTGTTTCACTACTTGTTATTTATATATTTCGAAATTTAGCAAGGTCCATCAATTTTTACTAATGAAATTAATAAGTATCAAAATATGTGGGGAGATTGATATTTACATCTTAAAATTAAACAGCGCTTTCCAAATTAATTTAATTTTGAGATTTTGACCTTTAAGAGTACTAAATTTGTCATTCATCTAAATGTGTATGTAAACTAAATTTCATAGTGTTAAGAGATAATTACATTATTTTCCTACTCGTTTCCAAATTACAAAAATTCCTTAAGATTTATGGATTTCGAATACATCACTGGACTTCCGGATACATCACCGAACTTCCAGATACATTAGAAGACATCCAAATCCATAGGTGAGGGATGTATAAGAGAGGGGATAGGACATCAAGATACATCACTAGACTTCCGGATACATCAACAGACATCCAAATACATATGTGAGGGAAGTATCCGAGGGGTTAGGGATGTATTAGCGAGAGAAGAGTGATGTATCTGAGAGGGAATTTTTGAAAAAAAATTAGATGGTAGAGAATTTTAGAGATTATGGTAACATAAGATGTGTATTTAGGTAATTTTTCCAAAAAAAATTTAGCCCACTCTGAACCGGTCTACAAGCTCAATCTTTCCTTGGCCCATTTATTTAACCGTGTTGGGTTGGCCTGTAATGGGCTGGGCCGAATTGGATATGATCTAGACCGACCAAGTTAAAAAAAATAATTTTGGTCCACATTTCATTTTCTCAAAAGTTAATTTGATTAATCTTCAGAGCTAAATTATATTATGTTAAATTAACGATTAAAAAAAATTAAAATTCAGATATTTAAAAACTATACAAAAAGTACCATAAGTTGTAATTTTTCCCATAGTAATATATATGGTGAAAATAAACATCTTAAAATAATGGTCAAAGTTCAAATAATTTGAATTGCGAGATGCAAAAAATGACACATATTTTGGGATGGAGTTAGTAATGATAGCCTTAATGGAATAGGGGGTAATTCCGGCAAAAATGGAATAGGAGGAGTGATAAGAGATAAATACGGAAATTGGATTGTGGGATTCAGTGATGGAATTAGGATTTTCAATCGTTAAAAATATGAAGAGATAAAAACACGAACTAACGGAAGTAAATTCAACAGCTATTACATATACATAAAAAAAATTAACCATATATAAATAATATAATTTTTTACTGAAAGGGATTCGAATAAACCTCTTAATATAACCCCAAGTTAGCTCCGCCCCTGAATTAGGCAACATTTTTGAAGCAACAACTATTATATCAGAACTATATGGGCTGCAAAGAGGATTAAGGATTGCACTCGCAAATAATCAAACATCCCTTGAAATTAATATAGATCGCAAAGAAATCATTTACTATATAGGTAAAGACCATCCAACTTATTCTAATTATTAGTAATATTTTGTAAGAAGAAGTTTAGGTTGACAAAACCAATTCTTTTATGTTTTGGACGTTTTCTTCCTTGTTTGTATTCGATAAAAGAAGCAAATAAAGTAAAAACTCTTTTTGTTAGCTTAAAAGGCCATCTACTACTATTGAATTATGTAATGACTACTAAGTACGTAAGACCCCCTCCGCAAGCATTACTATCAGGAGCAACGCTCTGCCACTTACCTATATTGATGAATATTAAGTTATAATACTTTATATATATATCTCATTTACCTAAAAAAAAACGTTCAATTGTCTGTTACGTTTCGAATTGTTGATTCCTTAACCAGAGAAAATAGACTACTACAATAATATTTGACCTTTCGAGGTAGTAAGGGAGTATTTTTATTTTTATTTTGGATGAGAAGAGATCAGTTTGTAATTTTAACCAAGTTTATCACGTATCAACTAAAGTTTCTATGTAGTACGGATCATAATGTGGACTTGATTTCAACAACACATCTATATGCATGTGAGGATATATTCTGAAAAATATTGAGTGAAAGGATCAAAAACTACACATTTAAAGTATTTCGCTATTTTGAGTTTAATTCATATATACCTGAACTACCACCAAATATTTGTCGGAACACATCTCAATTATCAGTTGTTCACTTTTTCTACTGCAAAAAATCAGGATACTTAAAAATGTTGAAATGGGAAGACGTTTTTTTCAACCAAAAAAAGAAAAAGCATGAAAAGGAACTAACAGAAAAAACAAAGATCTATTAAGATAAACTTTAGCTAGTGACATATATATGTTCTTGGAATATTTTAAAGGTGATAGAATTTATTCTTTTCATTTTCTGCATGAGTATGTTATGCTTTATTAGAATCCAGATAAGGCACAAAATATGCCCTTATTATTACAAGTGTAAAATATAATCAAGAACAATCTAGATTTATCACATCATCAACTTGTAGTTCTTTGAAATTTCACTTTTTTTTTCTCTTTTAGCTAACATAATGCCTCTATATATAGCTTCATGTTAGGTTCAACTTTCTCAACAACAAATCAACCCTCAAAGTCACTTCAAAAACCTTCACTAAAAGTTACAAATCTTGGCATTTGACCAAACTATACTCATTATTATTTCTTGAAGTAATTGTTTAAAAATGGATATGGTGATGAAGTTGGGAGCAACAAGTGGGGTGGTGATTTTCACCAAGAGTAGTTGTTGCATTTCTCACAGCATTGAAACCCTAATCCGTAGTTTTGGAGCAAACCCTATAATTTACGAGCTCGATACACATCCAAATGGGAAGCAAATGGAGAAGGCATTGATTGAATTAGGATGTCAACAAAGTGTGCCAGCAATATTTATAGGGAAAGAGTTAGTTGGTGGTGCAAATGAGATAATGAGCCTTAATGTGAGGGGCAAGCTTAAACAATTGCTCATTAAGGCTAATGCAATTTGGGTATAGAAATTAATTAATAATGACTATAGGCTATAGCTATGAAACATAGAAAATTACCACTTATAGAGAGTCTTTTTGTTTTCTAGCTCTCATATATTTCTTCTTGAGGTATAAATAAAAAGTTACACTATAGTCATATACGTAGGTCATGGATAGTCTTTTCTTTTTGGCAATCTAGTGGCATATCTTTATGTATTGGATTTTAATCTAAAAGTATCAATGATATCTTATTATACTTTCTGTGGCTACATGTTCTATCATTTTTAACATTTTTTGGACCATACAACAGATTATTCATGTGCAAATCAAAATGCATGCAGTTCTTGTTCGAGCATAGACATAAAAATTATCAAACTCTAATTAATACTGAGCTCTAAAACCTTAACTTGCAAATATATCTTGATTCTAGGTCATAATACATAATTTTCCGTTTACTAAGGGTTTCTCGAATAAAATGTCTTAATTATTGTTACATTACTCGTTCCTCATCGATTGTGTAAAGATTTCCAATAAAAAGTTTTTAATGGTCCAGGCCTACTCAATTCATTTATGTTTAACATAATATAGAGTTTAAGTTAAAATTATTGAATTCTATATAACTGTAACATCTCGCAAATTGAAGTAACTAGGAAGGAGTTCATAATTGAAAATAGTCGTTTTTGGAAAGAATGAAAATCTGGAAATTTTGTTAAGTTAGAATAAGTTGAGTTTTGGTCAACTTCAAACGGCCATAACTCGTAGCTCATGATGAGTTAGGTGTACTTCCAGATATGGTAGGAAATCTCTTGGAATAATCTTTCCAACGCCGCCAAGTTTGCGCGATTCCGAGTTTGTATGAGTGAGATATGCCCTTTGGAAGTTGGGCTATTTAGATAAGGAAAGTCTAATCCGAATTTTGGAAGGGTATTTTAGTCTTTTCCTTGCCTAGTTGTTTTATTTCGTTTTTGGTAATTAAGTTAGGGTCTAATCAGAATTAGACCAGTTTAGAAAAGTTGAATTTCACGCTAGGGCTTGGAGAAAAGAGAAAATAGGAGAAAGGAGAAGGAAAGTACAAAGTTCGTCGATTTCTTGGAGATTTTCATGTGGATTTCACCAAGGATTTAATCCTACAAGGTATGTGAGGCTTTCGTATTGGGTTCGTTCACCCACGTGCCAAACATGTTTATTTCAGTGTGAATTCGTCCTAAAAGAGTTTGAAAGTTGATGTTCTTGATATATGTTCTTGAATTTGATATTGTTCTTGAGTTGGGCTGAAATTGAGAAGTTTCTGAGATCATTACGCCAAATTATTGAGTTGGTTGGAGTTAGGTTCTTAGGTACATTTGATGGGTATCTGTATCTAAAAAAGAATTTGGGAAAAAGAACTGAGTTTGGGCGAATTGGGGCTGGAAAACGAAGAAGAAAATTAGTCGGGCAAATCTGGACAATGGCTTCGCATCGTGGACTTGCTCCCCAGATTTGGGAAAATCATTTAGCGGAGCGGAGCGGTCACGGACCGTTCTGCCTCAAAAAGTATTTTCGCGACCAAAATTTAAATACTTCTCCGCGTCGCGGACCCACCCTCAGACAGTGAATTTTTTTTATCTTTTCTCATGTTTAGCTATCTAAAACACACTCCTAAACATCATGAGATCTTTCCTATCACAAATCGCAATCCTTGAATCCATAATTCAATTCAAGGAAAGTTAAGAGTCAAGTTTAGAAGTTAAGAAGCAAGTCAAGAGAAGTTCATTAAAGTTTTTCAAAAGTCTTTCACAAACGTTTTTAACTTTGTTTTAAGACTTGAGTTTTAAGTTAAGCAAAGGGTAAATAGTTGAGTTCATTTCTCCAAAAGTTATA